AGATTGACTTACTTAATAATATAATAATTTTATTTTTTACTTAATATAATTTATTGTGGGATGAACGGATTTCATATGGCGACTTAGACTGCAAATTGAGCTCGACAATAATGTTAATATACGAGAGCAGTAGATGCATTGTTTCGGCGCGATATCCTCAAAGTGCATCCAAGGAGGACTGTACTTTCATTTAGACGCCGTTATTTCTTTCACTTATTAAACACGCATTAAAACAAATAATAAAACTATCTTCAAACAAGTGCTTAAGTAATTCAAATCAAACACAAAAATTAATATGAAATATTACTAAACAATTACGAGCGACTAGCGATTTTACAAAAGTTGCGAATAAAAAATTAAGTAAGTACTTGCGGGAAACTACCGGCTGGCCGCATGAAAAATATAAACACAAATACCTATATTAAAATTCAGACGTACCATAGGTATAAAAATGTACCTAGCGGCCAGGACATACGGTTCCAAATCACTAGGAATAATTCCGTGTCGCTTGCTCATTTATTTTGCGTCGATCGGTCTGTCTCGCTCGCTCGGTTCCGTTCGTGTATTAAGCAACATTACACGACAAAGAAAGAAACATGTTGGGTGATGGTGTGATGTTTGTTTCCTTCGCGTAATGTGTGATGTTGCATTACATCGTAGAGTAATATTACCCGAGTAATATCACTCGCATTACTTACACATGTCTATTAATAATAGTAATGTGTTAGTAATGTAGTTGGCGGTTCGTTGACAGCCCTGCAATGTGTTCCTGCAATGTGTTCATGTTTGTCTAATGTAAAATTTGGTAGTATTTTGTACATTTCTGCACAGCATCTTTACCGACCTACACAACGTTAATAAAAGTAGTTGGTTGGATCTTTACAATTTCATCAGCTTAATTTCTTAAAAGAAAAGTAGCTTTGGATGCTTCTTAGCCCATTCGTTAGCTGTCAATAAAAGATAAAATCGGTATCTGTTTTGGAGATACGCCAGAATAAGCCGACAGACAGAAAGTTTATTTTTAAACACCGTTTAATTCTTTGTGTGCATAAAGTAAGAAGCTTATTTTGGCATTACAAACACTTCAATATTGCTTTATATATATTTTCCCTACATAATCGCTGATAGCCTTGAGGGGCTAGGCCAGCTACGTATGTTCTCGTAAGCGAACCCACGAGATATAACCTGAAAGAAATCGCTAACCTAAGCCATACGTAATAAGAGCAGAGCTTCGCTGGATTCACTACCAGATCGGAATCGCGACCCACTGAGAAGATCCAGCAAGAAACTCAGTGGGTTGTGCCCTGCAAGATTTATTCATTAATTATCCTAAGCGAATTCTCGTCCGAATCAGATCAGTGTGAGTGCTATTACTTTTGCACTAATTTTTCCTTTGTACAGAGTACAGAGTGTATGTTTTACATTTCCTTGAAAATGACTTTAAAACTAATATGTCGTTGTCAATGTCAATGTCAACAATTCACGTGGTAGACCTACCTACCGTGTTGTGTTTGTTGAGAACATGCTGCACTTGCGGCACGCTTAACATTAATGAAAATCTTTAAGTTTTATCGTTCTGAATGAAAAAGTAAACTATTAGGCTTGGTAAGATGTCTACTTCATATATGTTGTCTGGTCTAAACAAAATAGGCTCTAAAACAGGAACCCAGGAGCTCAAGTTATTATGTGAAAATCTACAGGTTAGTATTTGTTTATCGTTATTTAACCAAAATATCTATTTCACTTATTTATATCCGTGAATTACTCTGCCAGTATTTACGTACATAGAATTTCAGTGAAATTAAATTTTTGAGATGCCGAAAAAGTTCACTTTCGAATTGCATGTTGATAAACAAAGTAAATTCATTAATGGTGATAATTATATTAAAGGCACACATGTGACTTAATTATAATTTATCGTCGAGTATTTAAGGTTAGCACTATTTTCTTATGATTTTGGAGGCCTTCAGAACTAACTGAAATGTAACTTGTTATTATAAACGGTTCCTTTTA